CCACCTGACCTCGTGCCATTTTTTTTTTTTTTTTTCAGATATACCAAATGGTTGGCAAGCATGTTTCACAGCTTTCTGGCAATGTCGATTGAGCCTTGATGCACTGGAAATTTTCGCTCCTGGTAAATTTATAGCTATTTGTGAGAGAAGGAGCGGGAGGTCTATTGAATAAGTAAGGTGTAGAAGAGATTTGAATCGGTAAGATTTAAAAAGATTCAAAGGATGGAGAGTGAAGAGATGTATATATATATATATACAAGAGGTAGCAAGGAAAATAGAATAAAGAAAAGGGAAAAAGTAGCAATGGATGCCCATAGAAAGCAACCAGTGAGAAGGAACATATGTACTGTACAAAACTAAGAGACAATATAGTGTATATATATATACACTTGGTGTCAACAGAACACATTAAAATAAACCACAAAAAATTTCCAATTTATAAAACAAACAACTCATCATATATCGGGATGAATATATTTTTTGCTCAGAGGTAGACAAACCTCTTTATTAAGGTATTTGAATTGCAAGCTAATGATCAAAGCTGCATCCTGCAGGTCAGCTTTTTCCCCCCCCTCTCCTCCATGATATCTATCAATATTTGAAAGTAGACAGAATTTTTGACTGGGTGTAAGTATCAATTAACTCATATACTTTTTGTTCTCTTTTAGCTAGTGGTGCATAAGGCAATAAGCAAGTCTATACAATGTTGCAAAAAAAAAAGAAGTAACCTAATAATAACCGGAAAAAATAGATACAACCAAAAAAAAAAAAGAAAAAAAAAGAAAAAAAAGGTATAAAAAAGAAAGAATAAGTCAAAATTCTATCCAGATTTTTTGTGGCAGGTCATTTCCTAGGACCCCTAGACCGGTGCGGGGTAGACAAGAAAGTTAGAAAGAATTAGTTGTGATGTGTGCGGAAAGCATAATAAAAACAATATGACCTAGAGAGGCGGGGGAAAATATGTCGAGGAGTCAAGCAGATATGGAAAATTAATGGGCAAATCCAAGGAACCAAAAAAATTTACAAAAAAGAAAACCATTTAAAAAAACCCGAATTTGGACCCCCCCCCCCCCCCCCCCCCCCCCCCCCCCCACCGCAAAGCGGCCAGTTAATGTCATTAAAAAACGTATAGGCATGTCAAAAAGGTGCGTATGTACGGATAAAAAGTTAACAGGCCGTGAAAAAAAGTAGAAAGATAGGAGTGAGGGTCCTTGTTGAAAACTCCGTAGGGGCAGAGAAAAAGTTAAAATAATTAAAGCAAACTCCTTTATAAAGGAAAAAAGGTGGTGTGGGGGAGGAAGAGGGGGGATTCATTGGGCTTTCACTTTTGGGTTTGTTTGAATATGGTGGGGATGCGTGGGGCAAGAAGGACCATTACTGTCACAGCCCCTCTTCGCCAATCCCAGGGAGGCCAGCTCCAGCGACATTAATATTTTGCCCTTGCATAACCCCGCCCACACCAAGGTTTCGGCCAGCAGCGAGTTGGAGTTCTGGGTTGCAAAGGGGTGAATGCGATCTGTGGTACTTTAGGCCATTGAGGTTCTTATATCGTTTACCGCAGACTTCGCAGCGGAATGGCTTCTCCTTTTCCATGCCCAGCGTTCCTGGATAAGGAGTACAGGTTTCTGGGTTGACGATTGAGAAGGTACCATCAGCGTTATCGTGGAGCTGTTGGTTGTTGTGGCCGTGCTGTATATTCCGGGCGGAGATATTAGTAAAGCAAAGACAGGAGGGGAAGAAAGGAGAGAATGCATGTTCAAAGAGGAACACTTACCGCCTTGTGGTATTTTAAGCCGTTCTGGTTTTTATATGCTTTCTCGCAGCCTATGACTGGGCATCTAAATGGTTTAGGTTCTTCGTTCGGTAGCAACCCAAGCGTCGTGTCTGGTACACCTGCACGAAGTTGCTGTTCTCGAATCCGTTGCGCTATTTGGCTGTTGGGTCCGTACGGCTGATTTCCTAGCCTGTTGAGCATACTTTGTTGTTGACTGAACCCGCCAGTCGGACTAAACAATCTCTTGGCTGGCTCGTCGATAAACAGATTTAACATATCATTTCCGCCGCCAAGTCCGGAAAATTGCCCTTGGGCTCCCGTTAGCGCATTATTTTGCATCATTGACATGTCGCCGAATTCTCCAATGATCGACTCGTCAAGTTCAGCAGGAGTCCCTGGCGCAGATGAATCTGGCGTACCACGGTACCCAGAATTTTGTTGCTGCTGTTGTAGTTGATGTGTGACGAGGGTAGGGGTATTAACAGACGATACAGTTGGATTGTTTTGGAGTGGGCGCCCAGGCGTTACTGGAGTGCCTGGCTGGGAATTCCGTAAGCCTTGATGTCCCTGAAGCATACTTAGGTTGAGTGGCGTTAGACTTCCTTGATTCTGCTGTCCAAATCTTCCCTGTATGGGACCGCCTCGGGGCCGTGAATTTTGGAAATTATTTTCTGCCAAAGGGTCGTCCATCTCCATATCCTCAACTGTGTCAAGATCAGAAAGGTCACTTTGAGCTCCGAAGCCGCCGTGTTGTGTCTGAGGATGTTGTGGCGCTGGCGAAGCCATATGGTTTGCGGTTTGCTGATTTTGGTTCGATCGCGGGGATGATACGCCTCGATTTTGATTACCACCAGCGCCGGTATCTGATTGCTGGCTCTGTTGACCTTGATTTCGCACACTGCCAGGAACGCCAGATCGGTTGTCACTCATAGAAATTTGGCCTGTCTGGGTAGTAGATTGTGGTGGTTGTGGTGACTTTTGCGCATGTGCCTCTTCATAATGTTGCAGTAAGTCGTGCAGGGATGGTAATGTAACGCCGCAGCAAGAAAAATCTCGCATGAAGTTAGCTTCAAGTTTTGGGAGGTACGACGACGAATGATACGAAGGAGACTGTAGTGTGAAGGGAGAAGTTCCGGTCATAAGGATGCTGTGTAGCAGTGATATTAGCCCAAAAAAATCCATCCCCTTGTGATATAACCGCAGAAGAGTATGATATCAGTTAACATTCCCTTTTGAGGAAATGGGTAGATATGCTGCTCCCCGCTATATTAAACAATTTGGATATGGCAATTATATATGGGTAAGAAACCAGGGGAAAGAAACGTACTCATCTCGAATCCAACTGCCAACGGACACACCTCCCCAGCTCATGCCTCCAACCAAACTACCTGCTAAACTCTCGCGACGCTGCTTATCCCTGTTGGAGCCAGTCACTGTGATTGGCTTCGTGCCGTTCCCCCACTGCGTCATGCTTGCGCCAATCGAGTCCTTGCGAACGGCATTTGCTTTGTACACGATGGAACTGGGAACATTGGAATTCGCGGCACCAGCCGGCCTGTCTGCCGTTGAAGCTCGTTGGAGGGCAGAGGTCAGATTCGAAGCCTGGTGGCCTGGTGGGGAGACGGATGTGTTCCGGGACACGATATTGATGGGGGGGGTTGGGCCCTCCATAGTTCGTCGTTCTGGAGGAGAGGAAGGGAAGAGCGGAAAGGTAGAGTCGTCAAGATCGGGTTCTAACAGAGCAGAAGTTTGGAAAATTCCAATGTTTGGATGCTCTGCTGGCTTCCGATGCCAGGAGAAATACAAATCTCGATCCCGCTCAGCGGTGCGGGACTTGGAAACTGCAGCAAAGCCTACGGGTGTTCCGATGGGAGTTGTTTCACGTGTTGAGGAGCGGTCGTGGTCACTGGAGGGCGGAGAATACTGGAGGGGAGGGGGCGTTTCTGAAAACTGGGGCATTAGATAGAGAGATGGGGAGGAGAGAAATGGAGTTGCGCTGCAACTCTTGTTGTCAGTGCGGAGTAGAGGAGAGCCAGTAATGGATGAGCGGCGGAAAAGTGGATTCGGAACCTTATGAAAGGTGGAGCGGGCTCAACGAGATAAGCCCAAACAGTAAGAGTGTGCAACGAGCAACGGGGCAACAGGGAGTGCGAATTATCGTTACGTATTTGAGGGGTCGCAAAGAAGAAGGCGACGATGATAATGCTCCTCGCAGATGTGGACAGTAGACGAGGGAAGACAGTGGTGGTGGTGGTGGTTGGTGGTGGAGGGTTGATGAAGGGGGTCGCCGACTAATTAATTTCCTTAGTAAGGCGACTGGCCCAGGGCGGTTAGCTCGAGTCCGGCCGAGGATGCGCCGACCACTGGATCGGGTTAGCCGGCACTGGCCAGGGCGATGGCGCCTCCCTAGGTGCATTGGGTACGAAAGATGACGCCTGTTGATTTGCTCGGTCTCTTCTTCCTCGATGCTTGGCTGGCATCGACCTCTGGTTCCGAACTGAAGCGGAAAGCCAATCCCGCGACAGGGCCTTTGCCGGCAGTGGGCTCGATGAAAGGGATGTGTCATTCTGGCGGTTGTTACTACGCTGTGGTACCTTTATTGCTGAAAATGCTGTGGTTTGCCGCTGGGAAGTGCAGCTTTCCCTCACCAGCAAGTCCTCCAAACAGACGTCTTGTTTGCTTAATGATTCAATTAATTTACTAGTATTTAATCCTCTCCGCTAATTCTGGGAAGTTTGTAGCCAATGACCATAGGGAATTGGTGTTCAGGGGCCTATAATTCGTATAAATCCGGGAAGTTGAATATGTATCTTTCGAGGCGGTCAGGAAGAACATGTGATAAATCCAGAAGTCAAAATGCCTTGTTCCTGTTGCAGCGGCTCGGTAGGGATGGATTTATGGAAGGAGATCGAGCACTCGCTACTAGATTCGATCAGTTTGCCATCCTTTGTTTGCCTTTGCCAAGTTTCGTCCCAGAGGACTGGCATTGGGCCGGCATACCCTTTGTCGGTGTGGCTCATATCCGCCTTATGCGAAACCTACTAGGACTTTAGATACATCATAATTACTGCCCAAGCCCCGAGAACGGGGAAAACCTTAAGGTATATACACTGGCATTACTTTATTTCATGGTTGAAATCATCAATGAGAGGTCATTAACAGCGTCAATGAGTTGGGCTGTCCGCTTGTCTCCCTCCTGCACTTCCACCGCATTTTCTTCTGAGGAGTCCCAACGCGTAGGATGCTTTCAACGATGAGGCCAATTTGCTCCCTGCGTCTGAACATTTCAAGCTCCACGTTCGACGACGATATGATGTGCATGTGAAACTATCATATTCGGGCAAGTTTCGGGAAATGGCGATGGCTGAGAGGAGGATCTGCTCGGGAAGGTATGGAAAGTTTGAATACTTGGAGTTGTGTCATTGTAGCGTAATAGGTACCGTTTCAGGGCACTTGACCGTTGGCTCATGCCAATTGAGATGCGCAATGATTTCGAGACAATCGAGTGCAATACTGTATCACGACAGAGGCTCTGCAGGATCTCAGAACTTGCGATAAGAGCAAAATGGGCGGGATATGCTGCTTCTAGCCCGTATTTGATATTACTGTAAGGCGGCGAAGGACTCTGAAGTGCCAGGAAATCGTAAACTTTTGCCACAGATCTCCTTTCTCAAGACCAGAACCCGCGAGTCCGAGGTACAAACTCCAAGATGAGATACGTCCAGTGTTGGCCCTGTACATCTCACCCATTGTTTTCCTATCAAGGCGGCAAAATCCTGTAGGATTCCATGTAGGATCTCAATGATTGTGGAAAATCAAGGCTTCTACTCGGAAATGTGCCATCACGTTAGCAGCTGGGAGAAAGTTTCGCCGCTCCCGCAACCCTCACTCGGACAATGTCTCGCACAGCGGCGCAGAGACAGATAGGTATTTAATTCTCTTAGCTCAGCAAAGCGCGGGGCAGCAGTTTAGAAGCGATTTGGCCGGACTGCTCTGCCCTGCGAAATCAGCTGCAAAGCCACTGACAGACAAAACAGAGCAATTCGGAAAATGGACTCCGATAACGATGTGACTTTGTCGCAGACCAAGACGGCGGGATCCAGTGGGACAGAGGTGTACAAACAGAACGGCCATGTCCGGGCTGAAGAATTTGAAGAATCTCTAGCGAAAAGGATAAAATTAGATGGGCAGCCTGTTTCTGGTTTGCAGACGGCGGCGAATGGCGGGGTTGGAAGGAGGAAAGGTGTTGCGCCGGTAAAGAAAGAGTGAGCTTATTTACTGTGTATTAATTTGTTTATTTTAATTTTTTTTTTCATTTTTCACTTGAATTTTCATTTTCACTTTTTTTTTTTTTTTTTTTTTTTTTTTTTTTTTTTTTTAGCTACCACCCTCATCGATAAATTGAGTATTGTCTATAGGGGTTTACGGCTATTGCTAATACATATTGGAAAAGGTACCTTATTGAGGTTTCTCAGAGCACGGGCCAAGCTTCCCCAAGGGCTATCGCGGATGACGATGCTGCAGAAGCGGCCAAACATCACGAGAAAGACGGCGGCGGCGCCAAACAAAAGGGGAGACGTGAGAAGAAAGGTGGACAGAATATTAAACGTACGTTTGGCCGTTCTCAAGACGAGAAGCAGCTTTGCCAAACCGTTGCGTATTATCCCGAATTCTCGCCCAACCCTTGCGCCTTTGGCAAATCCTGCAAGTTCGAACATGACATCCGCAAATACCTGAAGAATTACAAGAGAGCAGACTTGGATACCTTTGGTGGGGTTTGCCCCGTATGGGAAGCTAAAGGAAGGTGTCCGTCTGGCTGGAAATGCCGATTTGTGGGATCACACATGGCTGAAAGGGAAACGGAGGATGGGCGGAAGGAGTTGGTGTTGGTGGAAGATGCCTCACGCATGAGACACCCAACGTCAACGAACGGAATTGAAGTCGACGGGGTTGTGAATGTTGTTACAACGGAGGCTAAGCTTGCTTTGGCGAAAAAGAGATACCAAACTCCTAAGGCTGATTCCTACACAACTTGGATCGACACTGTCTCCAGAGAAGTAGAGAGGAATCTCCATGGGCGCAACCAGGATGAAGCTGCATCTGTCCCTGGAAATGCTGATGGTCAGGGAACGTCTGATTCCAAAGATAGAAAAGAAGATAATAGGGCACAGTATACAGAACCTCCATTTCTTCCCTCTGAAAAGAGGCGGCTCTATTTTGGCCCGGAGACACCTGTTTTGGCTCCACTGACGACGCAAGGCAATTTGCCCTTCAGACGTCTCTGCGTTGATCTTGGTGCCCAACTTACCTATTCGGAAATGGCAATGAGCATGAGCTTGGTTCAAGGCTCCAAGTCTGAGTGGGCGCTTATGAAGGCGCACGAATCCGAGACATTGCCTCCGGCAGTCAACCCGAAGCAGACCATCGTGAAAGACTACGACAATTCTCGTGATCTGAAATTCGGCGCCCAGATCACGGGCAACAAGCCATGGGTGGCGCTCCGAGCAACTGAGGCCATGACGGCGTTATGCCCGCAACTTCGCGTCATCGACATGAACTGTGGGTGCCCTATCGATATGGTCTTTAGAGAAGGTTCCGGATCCGCGCTACTGGATCATGCCTCGAAACTGGAAAAAATGCTACGGGGAATGAACGCCGTGTCCGGCGAGATCCCCATCACTGCGAAAATCCGAATGGGTACCAAGGATTCAAACCCTACAGCCACAAAGCTGATCGAAAGGTTAATTATGGGTGGTGTCGAATCTCATGAAATTGGTAGGGGTCCTGCCGGCGTTGCCGCAATCACCCTGCATGGCCGTAGTCGTCAGCAACGATATTCGCGCCAGGCAGACTGGGAGTATATTTCACAGTGTGCAGCATTGGTCAAACGACTTAACGAACAAACCGACATCGGAACTGATACAATCAAGGAACCTGATGCGCGAGACCAGCCTTCTGCGGGTAAAGTTTTCTTCCTCGGAAACGGCGACTGCTACTCCCATGAAGACTACTTCAACGGGATTCAAAAATCGGGCGTCGACACTGTCATGGTTGCCCGCGGTGCGCTGGTGAAGCCGTGGATATTCGAGGAAATCGAAAAGGGCCAGTATCTTGACAAGTCAGCTTCTGAGAGGCTCGCCCTCGTGGAGAAGTTTGCACGGTATGGGCTTGAGGCTTGGGGATCTGATGAGTATGGTGTTGGCAATACCCGCCGCTTCTTGCTTGAATATTTGAGCTTTACCCATCGGTATATTCCTGTGGGCATACTTGAGTATCTTCCCCCGAGTATCCAGGATCGCCCACCCGCCTGGAAGGGTCGCAATGAATTGGAGACTCTTCTTGGAAGTGATAATTATAAAGATTGGATTAAAATTTCGTGAGTGCTGTTAAGTTTTCAAATTTTGCTAATTTTCCGGATGTGTCATTTTACTAATTGTATGTATCCTTTACAGGGAAATGTTCCTGGGTCCAGCTCATAAAGATTTCAAATTCGAGCCGAAGCATAAGTCGAATAGCTACGAAATTGTTGCTGAAGGTTGACCTGCGACAAGTAAGATCTACTGGCCTTGTATATTGCGAGCATTTAAATATCCCATTATGATATGTATAAATAGGATATGAGCAATTCAATTCTGTAGATGTCGAGATTCTGACCACGTTTCCTCTTCAAATTTCTATATTCAAAAAATTAAAAATGTCTGCCTAGTTATGTAGCTTGCCTAGTTATGTAGCTGCTGCTGAGTAGGGTAGGCAAAGTCACATGGGCTCGCCCAATAAATTTCAACAAAGCAAAATCTGTCTCGATGACGTCTGTTGACCTAAGCTTGTTTTTGCTACCACTTCTCCCCCGGCCTCACGCAAACTAGCCAGCAAGAAAACGCAGGTAAAGAGGGGACTCTTCTGTCATTTTGTATTTAACCTTGGCGGATCTTTTTTTCACTTTGTTCGTCGTGTTTGGCTAGAGAAGTTAACAGCAGTGAAAAGAGAGAAAGGAAGAGAAAAAAAAGCTTGCCCGTAAAGCGAGCTCCCGCTGTGCAAGAAGGCTGAGGAAACTGTGTACAACAGATCAAAAGGATTGCAAACATGACGCTCTATTATAGCCTTGTACGTATTAACTGAGGAGATCGGCCCTTTGTGTTTGAGAAGTGCTTGCAGAAAATCAGGGAAGCTGCTATGGTGTGAACAAGTGCTAATGAATATCTGGTTGTCCGCTATATAGGTTTTTCTTCTCCTGGTCGTCGAGATGGTCATTTTTGTTGGCCTCATCATTCCGCTTCCTTTCACCGTGAAGAAGAAATTGTTTACTTTCATCTCCGAAAGCCCAGTTATCGCGAAGCTCCAGTATGGCATGAAGGTAGGCGCTTTATTTCTCTGCCTACCCACCAGGAAGAAACAGGACAGGAACTGACACACATGGTGCCTTTCAAGATTACCTTTATCTTCATCCTCATCCTCTTCATCGACAGCGTTAACAGAGTCTACCGTGTGCAACTCGAGTTATCCGCATACTCAAAGGAACTGGGTGGAGCCGGGTATGTCACAATTTATAGCCCTTTAAACCCGAGCGCGTTCCAACTCACCAATGTCTAACTGTCTTTACCCCAAGGCGCAGAAGTGCCGCCCTAGGATCTGAACGGATGGAGGTCCAAGCACGCAAATTCTACTCTCAGCGCAACATGTACCTCTGCGGGTTTACGCTTTTCCTCTCCCTCATCCTCAACCGCACTTATACAATGATCCTCGAAGTACTGCGCCTGGAGGACAAAGTAAAACAACTACAAGGTGACAAGGGGGCTGGTGGCAAGGATTCTGCCAAATTGGCTGAGGCGGGCGATGCTGGTGAAATTGGCCGTCTGCGCAAGGAACTCGCAGCCCGAGAGAGAGATATCGATGCGCTGAAGAAACAGGCTGAGGGCTTGTCGAGGGAATACGAAAAGTTGAGTGATCAGGTCTCAAGTCAAAACCCTGATCCGACACCAAAGAAGGACCGGTAAATGTCAAGGGGATTGGTCGGCCTGAGCCTTTGTTGACGGCTTTTTCAAAGAAAAGATGTCGAGATTCCACCGATATGAAGGAGCAGCTGGTAGGTGATATGAATTAGTTGGCTTGTGAGAGTCGGACGTTTCCTTGGTGGATTATAACGCCTAGGACCTCATAGCGTTTGCGGGTTTGGCTTGGTGATGGGTAGGGAAAGAACGCAAAGGATTCTGATAGAAATGGGGGGTGTGGGTTTTTGCTAATCACGCATTGGAACTATAACGGGGCTTACATTTTCGTTTCCTTTTGCTGTCGAACGATGCATATGCACCGGTTAGTTGTGAGAGTTCCAATTTTGCAATTATGGAGGTGTATGTTGTGAATCTAATGGCAGAAATATCATTTAAAAACGTTGTATTTTCTTTCTTCAACCAAAATTATGGCTATAATTGCTGAATCCATTCCTTTAGATACTACTCGGAATTTTAAAATGTTCCTGTCCACACGTAAGGGCAAACCTTGGAAGTAAATATGAATTAAAACATACTACGTATAGAAACATGGAGTATATGAATACATCACCGAAAGCTGAATAAATTGCAAACGCAGGATATCTCAAATAAGAAAAGTCCAGAAGCTGGGGTATACAAATTCCTCCTCGAAAATCCGGCGCACTTGCTCAAGCACGAACTTCTCCAGCTTCCCAACATTCTTCAAAGCCTGCTTTCCATTCTCCTTTCTGCCGATTTCGCTCTCCACTCGGATTTCACGCAGCAGACTAGAATGCTTCCGTCGTGGAGAATTTGGTTCCAACGTATCCCCTCCTCCGCTGCCGGCAGCAGTTTCTGGTCCCATTAGCGTGTCAGCATCGTCTGGCGAAAGAAAGCAGAAGTGTATTCGTCTTCGAATGTACGCAATGACAGCTACGGCGTCAAATGTAAGGCCTGTAATGTTAAGTTTTAAGGGTAGTCCAACGAAACTGGGCATCGGGTAGTCAAGGAGGATCTCCGCGGTTAATGAAAGACTGATATTGCCTGCATATTTCGTCCTACAGAAGACTTGGAAATCCTCCGCTTTTTGTTCGCGCATTCGCCGGGGTGGGGTATCGTCGAGGGGATGGTTAGGAGAAGTAGGTGGGATGTTGGGTTCAAGGACTTGCCCTTGATTATTTGACATTCCTTGCGAAGCATGGCAATGGTGTGGATCACTGACACTCATTGAATCGCGCGATGGCAGTGTGTTCCCAGTATTCGCAGTAGACGGTCGAGATTGCGCAGAGTCTGGTTCAGCTTCTGATCTGCGACGGGACGGTCTTGCTCCATGAGCATCTGGCCATCCGCCCGAAAACGGGTTGCCACGCGCTACTGCTCCCAGTGGTGTTTGTGAGTTTGAAAGTCCACTCAGTGGCATGTAGTAACCTAGATTCGAGGTACCCCCAGGTATGCCCGGTGTCCCTGATCTGGGAAATAGATACGGGTTTATATCTCCAAAATTCATGGGCCCCCGTAGAGGGGATATTCCGGTATGTTCTTCCCATTCAGGCATCCGTAAAGGTTGGTTAAATCCAACCCTACCGTACATTTGCCCTCCAGGTCCTCCTGGAGAATTCGCCTGCCACGAATCTACTCTGTTCCCATATCTATCAACCGGCTCCCTCGTTGGCGATCTCTCCTCCGAGCTGTCAGAGAAATTTTCGTCATCATCCTCGAAGAAATCTGGGAACGGATCGCTGAGATCGCGGATTTCAAGCTCTGGAGGTATCGTACCGAAATTAAAGGAGGTAACTTGCACTGAGCGAATGAATCTGGGCAGAACTATTTGCTGAAATTTGTCATGTATGAATGAGCGAATGCGCTCTGCCAGAAGCTCGCCGTCTGGGCCAGAGGTGGCGCGTTCCCAGTCAATATCTATGGACATCACCTGACACTGCCCATCCGGAAAGTTCTGACGATATTAAGGTCTCTGTACATACTCGTACGAATTTCTGCAGTAAGCATCAACAGGTTCGGCGATCGTTCTTGCGTTTGACTGTGTCCAAATGTTTTTTGTGAGGTTTGTTTGACTCAGGACAAGCATATCACGTGCCTTCCCAAAAAAAGAAAAGAAAAGTAAAAGCACCGAAGTCCTCGCAACATGCATGAGAATTCTATGGTAGACCGGTTGGGGTTTACCCTCATTGCCATTATGAAGGCTCTGGTTTTCGCAACGCCTATTACGCCGTTAGGCATGATTGGATATGAGGGATAGTTCAAAGCTGACTTAATTTCAGTTCGTCGGTTGTTGGGCTGTAGATCATGTCAGATTACTATAACCAAAAATACGGTTCAAATCCCATAATATTTCTTCCCTAAATCCAACCATTACAAAACAGCACCTCAACCAATAAAACTTGTTTACGCCCGTCAAAAATGTAACCATCCTTCCTTTGCATTTGGTAACTTGAGCTTTTGTTGATTGTAGTACGGTCCCCTATATCCCAGAAGCTTACGAATCGTTGCCATTCCTTCAGGAGGCTGCCAACCTATTTAAGGAAGCGCAGGCGAAGGACCTCTTACAGGGTCCTATAAGACAGCTTTTCCTCGACTCCGGAATGCATGAACGGTATGGGGTCATTCTGCTGCTGCATAAGCACTTTTCGATGGAGACCAACCAGCGGCTTGTGGACTGCCGAAACGTTTCGACACCGTGGACTGTCAAAAACAGCCACAACCTCGTGGTGCCGAAATATGAAGGCTTCATCATTCCGCGGAAATTCAGGATCTTCAATGGAACTTTGGCTCCGTTTGAATTTGATTTTTCGCCGTGCACGCCGCATGAAGACCCTGATTCGTGACTTCGTTGACCGAATTTCGGCTCTTCTTCATCATCACGGTTAGAGAATGTACTTGGCGTGCGTGCTCTAGACGGATATGACCCAGAGTTATCCGTGGAGATCACGGAGGGCAAGACCAACATCATGATACGCGGGTCGGTCAAGGGTTTGGAGCTCATTGAAGCTTTTTGGGTTGTTAGTACTGATGATGACTAGCGGTGCCATTGCAGAGAATACTGCTGGAAGGGCAATGAGGGAAATCATCTGAATAACCATGGATATTCCTAACACTGTACATAGGCGATCATGAACTTCTTGTTATTATTTCCTGACAGTCCATATTTATTATTGATCTCTGCGGGTGGTGCAACTGTGTTGTCAAATTTTGCTACCATGGTGGATTCTTCACCAAGGCAAATACCATGTTTTCCTAGAGGCTAAGGCCTGAAGTCCTTAGCATGCTAGTAAAGTTTCCTTACTTTGTTTCAACAACACCAACTGCTTTGAATCCGAACTTTAGAGTATAGTGGAATACCAGCAGGAGAGGATAAAACAAAGGTGTCTAGTGCATTTTCATCCACATAGCCACAGAAACTCTGCATGAGCATAGACCCAACAACTTGATATTGATGATTTGGATCCACAGCCATGAAGGTGATTCCTAATGGAGACATGTGAGCAAGGCCATAGGAATCCAAGTTGACTGATAGCTTACGGCATATTTCATTGCTTTTGCAAACCCGAAGAACTCTTTGCCTCTCTTTCCTGAGCCTTTTTGAAATACCAAGCCACGATGTTACATCCAAAGAGGGAGGATTAAAGCTGTTCCGGTTTTTTCGGCTTCGGTCCTTGCTTTGCTTCAGATCTAGCCACCCGGCCACTGTCAATATGATCCTTTTGCAAACGCTCCTGGACTAGTAGTCCAGCCTATAAGTCCGACAGGGGATCCATCTTCTCCACACGCCTTGTACAGAGCTTCGTCCTCTTGATGAACTGTCTCAAGAAGCCCATCAATCGTCCATCTGATTTGGTCTTCCCTCTGCTCCTTCGAGCGCGGGAACATTAAGCGACAGAGTGGGTTGTCTTGATGAGCAGGAAATTCGACTTTTGGCACGAGCAAATCCACGTCCTCGGTTTCGACGGGCGATATCGAGAATGCCATTATGTTGGTTGGCAAAAGAATATGTTGTCCATAAACTTATTCTGGCTCCGTGAAATGGCTGGGCCCAACGCTGTGTAAGTCGCCCCTTGGAGCGAAGTTGTAAGGAATTAACCCGTTCAGTTGGCATAGTGACTGAAAAATAGTTCCTGCGGTTAGTAAGCCAGTTGGCTTGACCTTAACCAACTACGGAGTACTCCGTACGCTGGTAGAAGCCGATCATTTACCCCCATGCTTTTGACCAATGGTAGGCTATATAGTTAATTGAGTCCTCGTTTTCCATGTATGTACAGATTACAGTGGGGAAATAATTATGTACAACTAGTGGCTCGGCGCGTCAACTCATATTGGTTTCATCCTGCATTTCTTTGCCACCACCCCCCTGATATCCATGCAAGCTTTTTAAAAATGCCAGGCAGAGGTCCAAATGTGGCTCGCATCATTATCCAGCATATTCTTCTACTATATGAGCAGAATCAGACATTCTCATCCATTGTCTTTAGTTTGAATATACCCCGCTCTACCATCTCCTCTATTATCTACCGCGAAACACATTGAAAGAACCCTCTAACAAGCTCTAAAAAGAAGCCTGGCAGACCTTCTAAGCTCTCTGCTTGTGATGAATGCTGATTAATACACACTGTGAACCAAAATTCATTTGATCCTCTTATCTCATTTCAATCACTTTCAAAGTCTACCCATCCTCTTTCCACCAAAACCATCCGATCATATTTCAAGAAGAATGACAGAAATATCTTCCAACCTCATTCAAAACCCTTTCTAAAGCCTCTACACAAGCAAAATCAGTGGAAATTCTGTTATGATCATGAGAATTGGCATCTAGAAGATTGGACCTGTGCAAGCTTCTCAGATGAGTTCAATTTTGAGGTTGGCTTGAATGTATCAAGCACATTTGTACGCCGCCCATGTGGTCAGGCCTTTAAGAATCAATATCTCCTGCCAACATTCAAATCTGGACGCGTCACAGTCGGGGTGTGGGCTGCTATAAGCTGGGATTTCAAATCAAAGCTTGTTTTCCTTCCATCTGGAGTCTGGATGAATTCCTCACACTATATCAGCATTTCTATCTGAATTCAGCTATCCCCATTACGAGAGAATCTTTGAGAAACATGGAATTGCATATTGGATGGATGATGGTGCACCTTATCATACCTCTAAGGCAGTAAAAGAGTGGGCAAAGAATGTGTGGATGAATCGTGAAGAATGGCCTGCACAATTCCCTGATTTAAATCCAATTGAGAATCTCTGGATGACTATGAAGCGTTGTGTCTCAAAGATAAGACATAAAATACACTCTACAGAGCAGATGAAGGATGAATTACAGAAGATATGGGATTCTATTACGCAGAAGGAGATACAGGATCTTATAGGGTCAATGCCACAGCAGATGAAGGCAGTAATTGCTGCCAAGGGAGGTGCAACTAAATATTGAAGAAGATATCATATGTAATCAACTCTCTATGTTCTATTCTATATAATACTCTACTGTCAGAGCTATATCTAATATATTGATTGAGATATTTGAAATAATAGAGCCATTGCAATATTCTTGGTTGATGCAAAAAAGCGCTAGTGTACGTATAATTATTTCCCCCCACTGTACTGTACGGAGTACAGCGTACATAAAACAACTCTGGGTCCTCGGAAGCACTCCGGATATGACGCAAAATTTATGCCTGGTTTAGACTCAACAATGGTCGTCTAAGCACTACTATCAGCTGGTGTTAAAAAAACAGTCTACATTATTTATCTAAGCTCTGGAATGGCGTTGAGAGCTTTCTAGTTGAGGATCAGCAGATCTGGTATCCTTCTCAGGAGCTTCGTCCGCCTTGGTTTGCACGGCGAAAAACACACATTCAGTTTCGCAATTGCGGAATCCACCAACACCTGCAATGCACGCTGCAATCTGGTGCGACAGTAATATTAGGCATAGAGGCATGAGTGCGCTTTCTGCTCCAAGGTTGATCATCATGGGTGTTGGTAATTGACTAGTCGTATTCAAAGTGCGCAGCGTGCCCACTGCCATCTAGTTATAACTAGTGGATAAATTGTGATGTCTGAGGTGTGCTATTGTCATTTGCTTCTTGTTACTGCATGCATTAAATGAATATTTGCTCCTCTTATCAAAGATTCTCATGTCATAGTGACACCGCCCATTGATAAGATATTGCAAGCCCAAATCACACCTATTCGCATAGATCATCGAACAATCACATGACTTGCATTGTCAACCTTCGCTCGGGCGCTGAACGTATCCTGCTTCCACAGCCAACCCTTTCCTGCTGCTTGAAATTATTGGAGTTGCCGCAATTCTATCGCAACTCTGCATGTTCCTCGATTTCAGACTGCATTGTCCTCAGTTGGTTTATTTCACATGATTGACATACTGGAACGCGCGTCTTGGAGAAACTAATGGGGGCCGTACAATACTCGTACATTGTACAGAGATTATTGGGAAGATTAGAGCAAAGCAGAACAGAATATTCCGCCGCGGAGAGGAGTTTGGACGAAGGATCATGCTTTACGGCCTGTGAGCTACAATATGTCATCACATTCGTATCAACACGTACCTCAACTAGCGTAGCCTCCGAACTTCACCAACCCACTGAAGGCGAACGGGGTTTTTGGACCTTTGCGAACACTTCTTCCCCAAATTGGCCCCTTTTGTGCCGTATGATTTCAACGTGGGTTCGATCTTGAATGACCGATTCCAAGCAGTTTCAGCTATCTCCCAGGCTCTCCTCGACCAGACGGTGTATTTGACGGCATTCCGGAAACGTTCTCAGAGCCGAGTGCGGGCTGGTAAGTGGCCTAATAAGGCAGATTTGGACTAAATATCATTGTGGCGATCAATCTTACCCCATCCGGCGTTTCTCGTCTTGTTCTGACACATAACATCCCTCTACCTTCCTGCAAGATCCATTATCTTCCTGCATGGACCCAACAGGCTGTCCAAATGAAAGCGCAAACGTATTCAATTTTCTGAAGACTGTTTGGTTTGGCGAAATCCCGTGCAGAACGATAAATTGAACGGGAACTATATAAATGGGTTCAGAATTGCGGCCCCGTCCGTAAACGGTAAAGTAATATAGTTTAACTGCCAAAGCGATTAGAACGTGAAACTGTCAGTTCACATTTTATTTTTATTTGTTCGTTGTTCTTGATGTTGGGCAGCAGGATATCGGGCAAAAAAAAAAAGGGAAGGAGATCAAAAAGAAATTGTCTACACCAACCTAAATCAAGGCAGAATAAACGGACTACATCCCCCCTTCCAAAGCTGTGGCCGCTCAGTGGCCGGAGCATGGGCTTCTCATCAATTTTTTAAAACAAGCTAATGCGGCGTGTATTCGCGGAACCGGCACGAAACGCACACTGTGCCGCACGATCTACGTGTAGGCCACCTGTATACCTGCTTCAAAGAGGCCGCCGGCCGAAACAGGCTGGCAGAGTTGATTTGCCGCAAACTTTATTTTTGGCCGGTGGTCAGCCCTCGCTGGTTTAGCCCTCGTCAGCACCTCGCCCATTGGCCAAAAATGCTACGAGGAGTTGTAGTTCGAGTACGGAGGGGATATCTATGAATCAAAATTCTACAAGAACATGCCTTTTGACGACTTCGGCATATGATCTCTCTCTCCATGCACACATTCTCAGGCTTGTCGATTTCATTGTGGCCTACGCTTTCAAAACCAACCACGGCCCGTGCCGCTCTACGGCTTTTGGTCAATTTTCATCTTGTCATTGGTGTTGACAACATCGCGACTGAATGTGGATGTTGATGTTTACTTGTACCACGTAAGAAAGGAGGTCGGGGGGAATGTCGTTAAGCCGATATTCATGTTCAGGAATAGGAATAAATGTGACGTGGGATCGGCACTGTACGTAGAGAGAGAGAGAGAGTGTGTGTGTGTGCAGTACGTCCAATCTCTTAAGGCATCCAGTCGCACGAAAACGGCGATTGCAAGGGATAGATATTTACGATTTTAACGATCGTCGTTTGAAAATTCTTTATTTTCCTACACTGCGATGCCCTGGAGTTTTCAATGCTGAATTTGCTCGCATGGCGCTGGTAAGAAGAATAGCCGAAGAAAAAACCGTAGTTGTAATTTTAAAAAAGTGATACATTCCCAGATGGGTGCATGTGTATGCTACCAAGCAGAGGGTATTTAGCCTTCAAAAGCAACATTGTCCCGAAAATTTCAGTCATAAGGCACCGATACAAAAGTGGGGTACAGGAGTAAGAAATTTGAGCTGTATATCGAAGAACAAGGGGTTGGGCATTTTCGCTAGTGGAATGGAAAATGTGATATCGCCCTGGTTCACTAGGGGAGGCGGGGAGAACAGCAAGCGAGGAGAATATGTAGATGCTATGCAGAAACTGGCGATATTCGAATTAAAGATATCTGCGATGGACTTCCCCTAATTCTCAAAGATTTTCATTCATAACACTGGCGGATACAGCTGCTAGAAACACTGAAAGGGGACCGGCTTGCACGGGGTATTGAAAATAGCCGTTTGGAAGAGATAACTGACGCCCTAGAGCCGATTTGGCTGCCGCGTTTGTTCGATCGCCACGCAAAAGGATGATAACCGACCGATAAGGGAGAGCATCAAAAAAAGGCCGAAATAGTTGAAGTGTAAAACGACCGGGACAGCTGGTGCTGGGCTAAGTTTTGGATATAGATCATGGAATGCTTAGAGTTTCAATCTGCTAAACAATGCTCAGCGAATGACCTTTGTTTCAAGATAAGCCTAGGATGACACTGGGAATAGATTACCTCGGGGAGCCACCGTGATCTTCGCATTTCCCAGGCGCTTTTCTCGTTTTGTCGATCATCTTCTGTCCTTCTCCCTCCTTGTCTGTTCCTTCTTTTGCTTTACATTCTGGGCACACTACCACGCCGACGCGCAATACGCACCCGCACGTGTACTCGTACCACCATTGAGTGCAAGTGCACATGGTTGTTGAGGCAAGTTTGATCGTAGGCTTGAGAATCGGATAAAGATAACAAAAATGAAATTTGTTTATACCCAAGGCAGCAAAATGTGTAAATGGAAATGGAGATGGATATCGTTGAAAAATAATGGGAATCAGCGGGTCGAGTGTTGTTTAAATATGCAGAAATATGCGGGAAATTTCCTATTTTAAGGCCGTTTTCCAGGCTTCCGCTCGACAAGCATGATGTTCAGCTGTGCAATTTTTAAAAGTCCAACAGTGACCAAAGAGTCTGGAATAGGATATAGCCGGGAAGAGAGCGCCGCGAACACGCTTTCTCAGAAGAATGGCGGTCATGCAGCTGCCTGCTAGGATTCCCGGGACAAACTAAGGCTTCTTAGGTATGAAATGATTGTGAAATTGGTTGGTGGGTGGAAGTTCAA